GTGCACTGTGCTGCTGCGCCTGGGTGAGTGCGCCCTAGCGGCCTCTGTCTACCCCGCGCGTCCCTATGCCGGGCGGGCATCCTGGCCTCACCAGCGGACAACTAAAGCTCGAAAACTAAAGCTCGCCTGATTTAGTGGCTGAGCCTCGGAGTGACCTTTGGACTCAGCGGGGCGCTGAGATCCTCGGTGGGACCACGTGCCCCGTGTTTGTTTTGGAAAATAGGACTTTCAGTTGCTGGCTGAAATCCCACACTGCTCTTTCCCCTGCATTTGAAGACCTCCCCAGCTCCCCGGGGAGACTTGGGGCACTTGTCTCTGGGGTCATAGGCCCGGGACTCTCTGCACCTTCCCCAATGTCTGGACCACAGGGGAGGGTTGGACAGACAGACCCTCAGCCACCCCTACTCAGGTCTGGCGGTGCCTGGGAAGGGAGGTGACCAGAAAAGGGCCCTGAGTGGTGGGTGGGTGGTAGCCAGTGCTGTCGACCAGGTCGCCTCTTCTTGGGCCAACACTGTGTGCTTTGTGCTCTGCTGTGGACCCTGCATCTGTGTGCTGTGCTGGTCCCTGGGAGCAGGGCTGTGTAGACTCAGCTTGCCCAGGAGTGTGAGAAACAGTATCCTGGGGGCCAGCAGGGACTGGTTGGGGGATTGGTCTGCTTGGGGGATTGGCCAGGCTGCGAGTGCCCAGTCTGTTGAGTAGGACTCCTTAAGGGCCACAGCCCACTGTCTCTGGCCAAGCTGCTGTGTGGCCAGGCTGGTTTGTGTCTCCTCTGTCCTCTCAGCAAACAGCACCTCATGTTTTCCCCACCCTCAGGTAAGCACATCTGATAGCTGAGGGGATCCCAGGGGATTTGGCTTGTTTTTGTCCTGCTGCCCGGCTGCCTTCCCTGCAGTGGGCCCCCACAGCCACAAGCAGAGAGCAGTCAGTCCTTGCAGCTCTGCCCTGGGGCAAATCTCCCGGGGCCCCCAAGGTCTGTGCTGGGGGGCAGCCAGGCCAGCCTTGGGAATTTCCATGCCACCCCCGCCCCTGGCTGGCCTCTGGATTCTGCTCCTTCTCCTGAGTTTAATTACTTAGATGGAGTGCAGCTGGCCTTTATCACTGCATGGTCAGGTCAGCAGCATTTCCCTGTTTGCTTTGCTGGTGAAGTGGCTGGGCTGGGGACACCCAAGCTGGGGGCTGTGTGGAATTCCCGGCACTGTCTCCCCAGTGCTTGCACCCTGTGCCAAGGGTGCCCCAGCCTTCAGGGTGTCAGGCATGGGAGTTGTTTCCTCCCCAGTGAGCCAGGCACGCATGTCCAGGAGACCAGGCTAGAGAGGGTGCCGTGCTGCAGCCTGCGCCGGGCTTGGCCTCTCTGAGTAGGTTCACCCAGAGGACTAGGTCAGGAGCCCCTTCAAAGTGCTGGGAGGGGGCAGCTCTGCCTACCTGTGTGGTCTCTGATGCCTGCCCCTCCCCAGGTTGGGCCTTGGCTGCTTGCCTGGCCCTCCTGCCGCCCGCCCTAGCAGCTCAGCTGCCTGCCTGTCTGCTTGTTGCCCGCCTGAGTCACTAGCGGGCACAGCCCACGCTCCTCCGACGGATTCTCGCCCCACCGGCCCAGCCAGCTCAGCTCTGGGGGCTTTTCCTCAGGGCCCAGTGCTCATGGGTCTCTTTGACCCTAGGGGCTGAGCTTGCGGGTAGCAGGCAAAGTCAGGTGGGGTCACAAAGTGGATGTGAGAATGAGGGTGGTGGAGTTGGGGCTGAGTGAAGTCAGGTAGGGGTCAGGCTGGAGGTCATGGGGTCCCCAGCCAGCCTGGCTGGGCCATACATGAGCCACCTCTGACCCACCTGTGTGTCCACCAGGGGACGAGCTGGAGCAGATCCGGCCCAGCGTGTACCGCAACGTGGCCCGCCAGCTGCACATCTCCCTGCAGTCAGAGCCTGTGGTGACTGATGCATTCCTGGCTGTGGCAGGCCACATCTTCTCAGCAGGTAGGCAGCAGGCACACCCAGGGAGCTCAGGGAGGCACCCATTGTGTGTGGACCAGGCAGAAGCGGAAAGTGCCAGGGGAAGCCACAGTCCCCATCATCTGAAGATGACCTCTGGCCTCTCTCAAGGAGGAGAGTGGGGAGCAGCTTTGTTCTGCTCAGAGCCGGCCCCACCCCACAGCTCACCCTTGAGGGGTGACCTATGCTGACCCCTGCTTCTTCTCCTGACAACCCTAGGAACAGGGTGGGCCAGACTTGGCTGTGTCTTCCTACTTAGTAGCTGGTGTGGTGGGGGGCACACAAAATCCAGTCTCCAGTGCCACTTGGGTCACTGCTGTCCACCATGGCTGGGGCATAGTAAGGGGAGGCATTGGGGGATGTGGGATGGGAAGGCTCCCCAGGCTGGGTCCTGGAAGGGGTCCAGTGGTGACAGTCCTGTGACCTGGGTTCACCTTGTTTCTGCAGCACACACTGGAGCCCTCCATGAGGGGCAGCAAGTACCACAGGCTGTGGTGTGGGTTGAGGTGGCTGGGCCAGTGGAGTGGGGCTGGACTCCTTGCCTAGTGCTCCTTGGGATACTCAGAGCCCAGTGCCTTCGTGATCTACAGATCAGTCTGCGACCCCCACATTGGGCTCCTGTTGGCTCCTGAGGTCCTATGTGCAGCCTGGGGTGGGCGTGGCCTGGAGGAGAGGCTCCCTGAGGCTGAGGAGCCTCCCAGGACAAATGGGGTCAGCTGGTGCAGCCCCCATGCACTGTAGGGAACACAGGGCAGGAGAGGGCAGTGGCAGGGTGACTGGTGGGCTCCTGGTGATGGTGGCCATTTGTGAGGCTCAGGAAGGAACCCAAAGTGGCAGGCGTCTGGGCCTATGACCACCTTGCCCTACCTTGGGGTGGCTCTGATGTGTGGGTGCTGCCTGGGTGTCTGTCTTTGTGCCCCTGGGCCTGTTTATGAGCCTCAGACTGGATTTAAAAGGCAGGATTGTTCATTTCTGAGATCCCAGCTCTGGGCACTGGGAAGGGCAGGAGTCCTGCGAGGTGGGGGTATCAGCGGGGGACAGGGCTGAGGTCAGGCCAGGGCAGCACCTCTCTGCCTGTGGGGCATTGAGGGGCACCCAGAAGGTCCCTGAGGGAAGACAGTATTGGTGGGTGGAGGGTGACAGTGCGGAGGATTATGACGGGGAGGTGCCTGCTTGCTGGGGGAGCTCAGCTGGAACCTGTGTGTCCCCTTGGAGGTCAGCAGCTGCCGCTGTCCCCATCGCAGTGTCCATACCCCCACCTGGCCCAGGCTGGTGAGGAGCCCTTCAGATTCAGGCTTGAGGTGTGTGCTGCTTTTCTTATGGTCATTTGAGCTGAGGTGGTTTCTTAACTCCTCTGAGCTCCAGAGCCACCGGAATAGGGAGCAGAGCAGTGGGGGTGCCAGGGCAAATGAGATCACAGTGCTGCCCCTCAACAAAACACAAACAAAAATCCAAAACAAAACAGTAAGCACTAACACCTGAAAGATGCTCAGTGTCACTAGTCATTAGGGAGGTGCTGGTCCAGGCTGCCTCAGACCTCTGAGCATACCCAGCCTGCAGTCAGCCCCAGACCCTTCCAGCTGTGAAGTCAGGGCCCTTATATGCCGCTTGCTGGGAACGGTGTGGCCACTTTGGGAACCAGTCTGGCAGTTCCTCAGATGATTAAACAGAGTCACCAGATTATATGCCAGCTCTACTCCTCGGCATTTGCCCAAGAGAAATAAAATCAAATGCCACACAGAAACTTGCACAGAAATGTTCATAGTGCATTACTCATCAAAGTGAAAAGGTAGAAGTAAGCTGGGTGTGGTAGCCCATGGCTGTCATCCAGCACTCTGGTAGTTTTGAGGCAGGAGGATGGCAGGTTCAAGCCCAGACCAGGCAACTGAGTGACTTGGTGAGACCCTGTTTCAAAAATAAAGAAATGGATGTAGCCCAGTTTGAAGCCCTGGTTCCATCCCAAGTATCACACACACATGAAAGAACCCACACATCTCCCAGTTGACAGAAGGACACGGAATACTGTTCAGCCATGAAAAGCAATAAATCGCTGAGGTGTGCTGGTGTGGGAGCTCAACAGCAGGGTGCTGAGTGACATGTGCCCAACACTGAACAGAGCAGATTGTTTGGCTCCACTCCTGGGAAGTGCCCACAGTAGGTAGATCTGCAGAGAGGAAAGTGGGCCTGAAGTGGTCAGGGATGAAGAAGACACAGGGAATGACCGCTAATGGCTATGGGGTTTTCATGGGGGTGGGGCGATGTTCTGGGATTGGGTTGTTGTGCAGCTGTGAAGATGCCACATGCAGTATCCTGCTTTTTATTTTGTTTTGTTTTTCTGAGAAAGGGTTTTGCTCTGTGGTTCAGCCTGGCCTTGAACTCACTAGGTAGCCCAGACTGGCCTCGAATTCCCAGTAATCCTCCTGCCTCATTCTGCAATATCTCACTTTTTTTTTTTTTTTTTTTGTTTTTTTTA